CAGCGTGAAAGTGTACAAGGCCTCAGCAGGCGCTGTACCAGGGAGAGAAGACTCACTAACACCTAGAGCAGCAGCCTCTATACATGGGTCAGGCAGCATACACCGGTAACAGTCACCCTAAGCACTAGCTGACAAAGCATACATAGCAGAAAGAATAGCATCATAGTCTAGGTCAAAAATCGCAACTTTAGACCTAAGCAGCTCTGCCCAGTGGGGGCGCTCGACCTCATCACCAAACTCAGTACGCCAAGCGTTGTCGAGGCGGGAGAAGCAGCGGTGCTGAGTGTGAGGCTTCCTGCATGTTTGACCAGCAAGGTTACCCCTGTGAATGACATACGAGCAGCTCACACTACCCCCAGACGCCCCACGCTGAAACAACCACTCACGAAGCTGCTGGGGGGACGGGGTCTCGCTCCGACGCTGCTGCAGATGCCTCTGGCCTCCTCAAGAATCTCCAGGCTGAGCTCCAGTCCTACCGCCACCACTCCCACCGCTGCCACTACCGCCACTCCCACTGCTGCCTCCACCGCCACCACCAACGCCCCCACTCCCGCCACCACTCCCACCACTGCCACCACCTCCACTGCCTCAACTACCTCCACTGCTGGCCCCACCACCACTTCCGCTGCCACCTCCACCACCCCTGCCACCCTTGCCCTTGCTGTTGCGGCGCTTCGCACTATTCGAAGCAGCCCTGACATCCTCAGCACCAAGGACGTCAACAGCAGCAGCAGAGGCGTAGGAGGGGGCAAGGGGGGAGAGGGAGCACCCCTCAAAGAAGGGCGTGCGCGGAGTGCCACGAGCTGCACCTACAGCGACTACACTAGTCTCAACTGCAAGGAGGTGCTGCTTGAGTAGATCAACAGTGAGGACTGTGGGGTTAAGGAAGAGAAAGTGGTCCCTGACACAGCGAAAAGAGTCAGGTAGGCGGGGGGCTATAAAGTAGAGAGTGGTGAACATCGGGTCTAGTTCCTGTCAAGGAAATCAGCGGGGGCGGCAGCACAGTAGCGAGCGTCACTAGCGCGAAGGTGGGAAACCAGGTCCTCGACTGTGGCAGAGGCAGACAGCTCAGGGAACAGGTAGGGCAGTAGCAGGCGACCTAGAGCAGCAGTGGCAGGCGAGGAGTAGCGAGCGACTACAGCGTCGTATAGTGCCTGTGCTGTCCTGTGCTCTCCGAAGTGAGCGCATTCGGCTAACGGCAGATGGTTGCGAATGGCTAAGCGGGCAGCAGCGTCGCGAGTAAGCCACGGTGAGCGAGTCGCACTGTCAGCTGTGGCAGGAGGGGCGGGAGCGGCGCCAGACGTGTGGTCAAACAACGAAACACTGTCCCTAGAGTCGCTCAGTAGGTACAGCTGCAGGTCGTCGAGCCACGTGTCAAACTGAATCAGTCTGCCCTCATGATCGAACGCAAGAACACGAAGCGAAGCCATAGCGGTGCAGCACGCAGAGCGGGGAGAAGCAGGGCAGCGCAGAGCAGAGGGCAGGCAGCAGCAAGAGGCGGTGGTAGGGCCGCAAGGGGCGGCTAGCAGAGCAGCAGGGGTGGCTAGAGGGCCACCAGGGGTGGCGTGCGGGGCTGCAAGGGCGGCTCGCGAGCTGCAGGGTCGAGGGGCGGGCCGGAAGGGGCGGCTCGCGGGGCCTGGGGTCGACTGTCGGGCCGGGGCCTAGGAGCGACGGGCCTAGGGGCGACGGGCCGGGGCCTAGGGGAGTCGGGTCGGGGCCTAGGGGAGTCGGGCCTAGGGGCGTCGGGCCGGGGCCTAGGGGAGTCGGGCGACGAGCCGGGGCATAGGGGCGTAGGGGCGTCGGGCGACGGGCCGGGGCACGTGGGCTAGGGGTGACGGGCCGGGCTAGGGGCGACGGGCCTACGGGACGGGCTAGGGGCGACAGGCCTAGGGGCGACGGGCCGGGATGACGGGCCTAGGGGCGACGGGCCGGGGCGACGGGCCTACGGGCCGGGCTAGGAGCGACGGGCTGGCCTAGGGGCGACGGGCCTAGGGGCGTGGGCATAGTGGTGACAGGCGACGCGCCGGGGCGTAGGGAAGTCGGGCGACGGGCTGCGGCTAGGGGCGACGGGCGTGAGCCTAGGGGTGTCGGGCGACGGGCCGGGGCGTAGGGGCGTTAGTCGCGGGCGTAGGGGCGTCGGGCAACGGGCCGGGGCGCGTGGGCTAGGGGCGACGGGCCGGGCTAGGGGCGACGGGCCTACGGGCCGGGCTAGGGGCGACGGGCCGGCCTAGGGGCGACGGGCCTAGGGGCAACGGGCCGGGGTGACAGGCCTAGGGGCGACACGAGGGTCGCTAGGGGCGGCTAGTGTTAGAGACTAAGGACGGAGTCTATGAAGATTAGGGGCTGAAATATCTCAAAATCGTCAACTACAATTCTGGACAGAAAAGTCGTCGTCACAAGAAACGTCGTCGACGATTAACGCACTGTTAGAATTCTCTCAAACTCAATTATGTTGTAGCCCTTGACCGTGGCTATCTGTCCCAATTTTAATAGTATCAAAACATGTAGTATAACTCGAGTTATGAACTTCGGCGCACTAGGGGGTAAGCTGCCATAGAAAACGTAACTCAATCACAATTTTCTCACAAGTTCACACAAGAAAGTTGGAGTAGCAATAGAACCAGGTAGGAGGGGATGAGGAGGACGAGAGGGAAGGTCCCAAGGGAATCCCCAACCAAGGAAACTCCAAACCACACAATTCCCCTCTCTATAGGCACCCCAACTTTGACATTTGTCACTTTCCCAACTCATGCCATCCACCTCACCCAACTTGGCCACACTTGCCAACCTGGTTTGGCTTCTCCCAACCACTTGGCATCATCTACAGTGATGGTGACGAATTTCCCAACCCCAAAAAGTCTGTACCCCATATTGAGTCAACCCGCAAATTCCCATAGTCGCCGCATCTCAATCAAAACTTCGAACGATCATATCTTTCTCGTTCTTGCTCCGATCGCGGCGATTCTCGGTTCGTCGGGAAGCTCTTGAGCAGAGGAGTCACTTCAGATTTTCAGAATGTTATATTTGTCTAGCCTGCAGTGGGGTACTCAATAGTGAGTACAGCCCAACTTAGGGTTTGCTATATGTACTCAACTGCTTGCTAGTCCAAACCTCTTTTCTCATTTCTAACTTGCAACTGATGTTTCCAACATGGAATCAGAGCAGGTCGACCCTCACGGGTCGATCCTGTGGATGGGCCCACCTAATCTTCCGCTGTCAACACTGCCTATTGCGCACCTCGGGCGCGCGGCAAATTTTTTTTCTTCCCGCCGCGCGCTTCTGCCTGCCTGCCCGTCGTGCGCCCCGTTGGCGCGCGACGGTGCCCTGCCCGTCGTGCGCCCCGTGGCGCGCGACGGTGCAAAGCCCGTCGTGCGCCCCGAGGCACGCGGCGGGTTTCGTCACCTGTCGTGGCGACCTGGGGGGCCGCGCGTCCCCCCCCCCCCCCCTGCCGCCTGTTCCGGCGCCCTGGGGGGCCGCGCGTCGGCCCCTCCCGTCGTCGTCCCGGCCCTGCCCTGCCCGGCCCTGCTCAGTCGCGGCCCTGCCCCCGCCTTTTCCCGTCGCCTGTCGAGGCGACCTGGGGGGGCCGCGAGCGGGAGGGGCGACCTGGGGGGGGGGGCCGCGCGTCGCCCCTCCCGTCTTCGTTGCGGCCCGGCGCTGACCTTTGACTTGACGAAAAATACAGTGCGACGGCAAGGACACATAACTGACTCGATACTGAGCAGTTACCCGAGTCGGCACTGTATCGAATCGCAACAGCAGAAAAACAGTTCAAGTAGAACTTTTCGTATTCCTTTGTAATCATATAAAACCTTGTATTTCTCTGTTATTATCAACTTATCTTGTTCTCACATACTAGTGCAAGGTGGTTCAAACAACTCTTATATTAACGCTTCCGCAATTACAACATCCCTACTTCAACACTTGATCTTAGCCTTGAAGATCCCAAGGGCTTTTCTCAGCCCAACAAAAACAACGCCATCTGATGCATCAGGCAGGCTCAAAACCTAGGGACGACCCTGATAAGGTTGTTATTGTGAATGTCCATGTATGTCGTGTATTTATTCTTACCTGATGTGCTGCGAAGTCCACCTTTATCCCAAATGGTGCATGGAATGAAAGGCTGTCTGATTAAAGTAAGAATTGGTGAGTTGGAAATTTTGAGTGCATTAAGCCCACAACTTTCTTACGGCATGATTGATTAATCTGTGCTCCTTTTTGTAACATTAGTTGGGTAGACCAACCCCTGGGGTCCTCTCGGTCAAACCCCTCTCTTCCCAAACCAGCACCAGCATTTGGTCAGCGACGTCTATGGATGAAAGGGTGGTTTGGGGGACTAAGAAATCAATGACGTGGCACCTGCTTTGGCAGGGCCTAACGGATACACCTAGTCCGCGGTATTTTAACCGCCGCTATCTTAACCGCGCGAGAGTACTTCTCCTTGGTCAGACTTGTTTAAACGAGTAGTTTTAAAATTAATGAGAGTATAATCTAACATTCCCTTCGCGAGATAACGGCAGTTAAAACACTGCCAATGCCGATATTCCCCCTATCTCGGAGCACTAAGTGTGCTTTTCTTCAGACGGAAAAGCATCCGGCTGTAAAATAATAGCCTTGAAGTCTTTGGGTGCCCATCTCATTACCCGAAAACAAATAAAGTGTTTGAAACAAAACAGTTCACGTGGTTAAAATACCGCGGACTAGGTGTACACCTACCGTCCTTTTCGCGCCAATTTGTCACATGTCTGGTAGGTTCGTTTGTGCGAAGTAGAAATGGCCATCTTCGCCTGATTCTCCAGATTTTCGTTCTGATTCTAGGCAGCACAAGCCCAAGCCCAGACACCACCAGACACCTCCCTTTCCACCGCGTTGCGCGTGGTACGTTCGTACAGCGTCGATAGCAATATTTACATTTTTATCCTAGCTGAATCAAGCGTTAGGAAACCCCTCATCGCTTAACCGTTCTTCCATCCTTCCAGCCTTGACCATTCCCGCTTTCATCAATGGACGAGTCGCGCAACCGTTGCATATCACCGCAGCCGCCGGCGCTTCGCGTCTCGATCCGTCGCAATCCGTCGGATCGTACGGCTGCCATTGCGTCGGATCGTACGGCGGCTGCTTGCATCGCGTGTGCGCCGTGCGACATTGATCGGCTGCCAGATGTCATCTTGCTGATAATCATACACCACGTCATCAGCACCACCAGCAGCCGCGGCTCCCCTTCTTCGACCACCAGCAGCAGCAGCAACTGCGAAGCCGTAGATGGACCGACGACCGCAATCGGCGATGCAACAAGTAGTACCACCGATACAAATTGCACTGGCTCTCCATACTCAGCAGACTCATCATGCCCTAACGCCATCACCATCACCACCCGCCATGGCAGGTGGTACAAGCAACAGCAGCAGCTGCCCTGCAAGGACCCCACGTGCTCCTGCCGCAACGCAGAGAACACCGCCGTCGCCCCCGACCCCCCGCTGCTCACTTGCGCGCTCGTCTCCCGCCGCTGGCTGCGCCTCTCTGCGCTTCTCCCCCGCGCCATCACTGTTCCCGCGGGCCTCCTCCTACGCCCCCGCTCCCTCCTGCGTACGCTCTCCGCCTTCCCTCACCTGCGCTCCCTCACGCTACACGGAGACTCTTGCCGAAGCATCAGCAGCGGCAGCAGAGGGGCCATAAGTGATTGGCTCATCGCTCGACTGGCAACGCTGCCGCAGCTGACGTCACTGTCGCTCGTTAGCGTTGTGGCAATCCCGAGGCTCGCCCCTTTGGCGCCCTCCCTGCTGTGCTTGAAGATCCGCGGCGCAGGGGAGGGGGTGACGTGTCTCCCCGGAAAATGCCTTGGGCGGCTGACGTGTCTGCAGGAGCTGGTTTTGAGGGACTGCTTGGCGCTGCGGCAGCTTCCGTCTTCGCTTGCGCTCATGCCGTCGTTGCAGCGGATTCGCGTGGAAGGATGCTATTCGGTGATGCTTGATGCTTGGACGCCCAGGGATGGGATGGCGGCTGTGCCTTTTTTGAAGGAGGATGAGGAGCGAGAGGAGGGGGAGGGGCGAAGGAATGACGTAACACGTGTTCATGGTGGGAACGTGGTTGCTTCGGTGGTGTTGGGGGGTGCAAGTGGTGGGGAGGATGTGGAGGCAAGCTGTGGGCAGCAACTACCACCTCAGTGTCGAAGGCGACAGCGGCGGCAATGGATGAAGCTCCACCGCTGCCATGAGAAGGCTCTGCTGCAGCAGCAGCAGCAGCAGCAGCAGCTGTCACAGGTTGACTGTCAGGGTGGTGTCGCCACTGTCACGGCAGCAGCACAGCCACGCCAGCCGCTGTTCTTCTCCAAGCTGCAACATCTCGAGCTTGCTGATGTGTCAGCCCTGCATCAGCTGCCACGTGGCATCCTCCAGCACCACTCGCTCAAGCACCTCGTGCTGGACGGTTATTCAGGCGCCTCCCTTTCTGCTTCTGGCAGCATTGACTCCGAGTCAACCGAGTCAACCAGGTCAATGCTCGAACCTCCCATCCGCATGCCCAGCCTGCAACATCTGGTACTGCGCAACCTTCCAAAGCTTTGCGAGCTGCCCAAATGCCTTTCCCTGCCCGCCGCCTGCCCGTCCCTCACCATCCTTACCATCGAGAACTGCCCGCGCCTCCCTTCCCTCCTCACTCCTCCTCCCAGCCTGCACACCTTAAAGCTTCACAATCTTCCCAACCTGACAGCCATCTGCGATCCACTGCGTACCCACTGCCCATCGCTCTCTGTACTCATTATAAACCAATGCGCCAACCTCCATACTGTGCCGTGCTTCCCGTCGCGCAGCCTATCGCACATGGAGATTCGCAACCTCCCAAATCTCACAGCACTCACAAGCCCGTCCTCCCTCCTCAACCCCTCCTCCTCCTCCTCTCGCCTCTCCATCCTTGCAATTGAAAACTGCCCTCTCCTTCCTATAAATGCTATAAACGCCACTGCACGCCCTCCCTTGGCCTTCAAATTTCCAAGCCTGAGCGAGCTATGGCTGCACGACCTGCCTCTGCTGCACGAGCTACCGCCCTCCTTCTCCTGCCTCTCCTCCCTGCAGCGTTTGGTCATCACCCACTGCCATGGGCTCAACTCACTCCCTGACTGCCTGCCAGAGCTCCCCTTGCTGCGTGATCTTGCCCTGGTAGTAAACCACAACCTCACCATCCCCACGGATTTCCTGCCGCAGGCGCACTCGGTGAGGCGCCTGGTGGTGCTTCGGGGGTGTGAGAACAAGACCATCATCGCACATCATGGGAGGGTGAGGCCACAGTTTGCGCTGCCCCCCCGGGTGCAGGAGCTGTACACAGATGACTTTGGTAGCGAGGTGTTCAGGTTGCATGAGCTGGAGAGAATGGAGGTGATTTGGGAGAACCTCGCAAAAGTGAGTATTAACGAGATTGAGGTGATGGAGGAAGTGATGAAGGTTAGCGGAGAAGGTGGGTGGAGAGATGTAGAGGATGAGGAAAGCAACGAGAGAACTGTTGAGAACTGTTGGGAAAAAAGGAGACGGCTAGCGTGGGATGCCAGTGTCTTGGGGAGCAGCCAGAGCACTGATGAAGGCAGCAGCAGCGAGATAACTAGCAGGAGCAGGAGCAGCACAAGGAAGCATGGAAACAAGCGACTGTTGCCTTGTTTGAAATGGCTGTCTCTTGTTGACTGCCTTGTTGGCCCTCGCTTCCCTCCCTGGATGCGCCACCTCACGTCCTTGCAGCACCTTTCCCTCTCCCACATCCTCCGGTATGACATGTTCTTCTGCCCGTCAGAGCAAGCCAAAGATTTTCACCAATTCCGATGCCTGGTCCAAGCTTATTCGCAGGAGGAGGAGCATTGGGAGAATCTCACGTCACTGCAGCGGGTTGAGAGGTGTGTGTGCTGCCCCATATCCGTACCTTGGGAGTGGCAGCGCCTTGTGTGTGTGGTAGATGCAGTAGTGGCAAAGGCAGCAGCTTGCAGATATGATGTGATTCGGGGGGAGGCAGCAGCTTGCGGAGGTGATGTGATTCGACGGGCAGGGTTTATGCTTGGAGGCCTGTGAGGAAGCAATGGTCTATAATATGTCCAGCGCAAGGAGTACCTCCAGGCCTTACTTCATTAGGTACAGTTCTTACAAAGTTGTACCACCTACTATGTCTTAGGCCTTGATGCCTGCGCTGTGAACATACGTACTACGGTACTAGAACAAAAATGGGACCAACGTTTCTTTCACACAGCAACCACCGGGTGATTCATTCCTAGTTTGTAACAGTGAGATGCTCTATGTGTTTTAAGTTTTAACATGTAAGTGACGTCGCATGTGTTTTAAAGAGGTGCTTTTCGAAAACTGGCACCCAAAAACGTCATAACAGTGGCCCGTCCGGACGGGCAACGGTGAAAAAAAAGTTACCTGCCCTAAGATTATCATACCATTCCTAAGGTAAACCATTGGACCTGGGTGTCACTAAGCCATTGAATTGACAATTGAGAAAGCTTGCTTTCTTATTCTTATCAATTGGCATCGTTCTCATCGCAAAAACCTCCTCCTTTTTTTTCTTTTTTTTTTTGCCTCGCCTCCTCGTCCAATCGATAGGACGTGCCCTTCGATCATTGGAGGTTGATGCCTAGGAGCATGGAGATGTTGGAAACAGCAGTTGAAAGTTAGAAACAAGAAAGAGGGTTTTCACTAGCAAGCAGTTGAGTACAACCCTAGATTGGGCTGTACTCACTATTGAGTACCCCACTGCAGGCTAGACAAATATAACATATTCTGACACACCCCCATAGCCAAAGTGGGGTGTAATCAGCACAACAAGCAAAGCAAAGACAAGCTCAGGGTGGAACACAACGTCACCACACATTCTGAGCACAAGTACAAGAAGCAACAGTTTATAATTCACAGTAATAAGTAAAGCTAGAGACTATCACAGAGGGCAAGTGAGGAGGAGGAGCTGGACTGAAAGGAAAGGAGAGAGGAGGCAACGGCTGAAGCTGCAGACACACGGGCAACAGGAGCGGCGCGCACTGTGGCTAACGGAAGCGCACCCCCGGACTACAGGAGTAACTGGCTCCGCGGCTAAGACGAGCGGCAGGAGCAACGGACCCACGGGCGACTGGCGCAGCAGGCTCGCTGAGCTACCGAAGGCGCACCTCTGGACTACTGGCGCTGCTGACGACACGACGGCTACCTCCACCCAACCTCCCTCTACTGCCGCACCCCCCATTCACACACCCCCTGCTGCACCCCTAGTTTCACTCACACTCCACCCCCTAGCACCACTCCGTCGACTCCCACACACCCACCCCCCTCAGCGGCAGCTGCAGCAGTGGGAGACGGAGGAGGAGGAGGAGGAGGAGCAGGGGAGGCCACACACCCGCCACCCCCTACTCACCACCCCCAAACCCTAACACTGGGCAGGGCCGTAGATGGCGGTTAGGGAGGTTACGGGGGGGGAGGGGGGCAGGGCCGCGACGAAGACGGGGGCAGGGCCGCGACTGAGCAGGGCCGGGCAGGGCAGGGCCGGGACAGGGCCGGGGCAGGACGGCAAGGCAGGGCCGCGACGACGACGGGAGGGGCCGACGCGCGGCCCCCCAGGGCGCCGGAACAGGCGGCAGAAGGGGCGACGCGCGGCCCCCCCCCCGCGCGGCCCCCTCAGGTCGCCTCGACAGGCGACGGGAAAAGAGGGGGGGGGGGGGGGGGGTGCGCGGGCCCCCTGTGTGCCGCGACAGGCGACGAACCCGCCGCGCGCCTCGGGGCGCACGACGGGCAGGGCACCGTCGCGCGCCACGGGGCGCACGACGGGCAGGGCACCGTCGCGCGCCACGGGGCAGGCAGGCAGAAAACCAGCGCGCGCCCGAGGCGCGCGATAGGTAGGAGAGCAGCAGCGGAAGCATTGGGTGGGCCCATCCACAGGATCGACCCGTGAGGGTCGACCTGCTCTGATTCCATGTTGGAAACAGCAGTTGAAAGCTAGAAACAAGAAAGAGGGTTTTCACTAGCAAGCAGTTGAGTACATATAGGAAACCCTACATTGGGCTGTACTCACTATTGAGTACCCCACTGCAGGCTAGACAAATATAACATATTCTGACAGGAGACACTTGTCCATCGTGCTTGATCTCGTTATATCTCGTTCTCTCTCTCTCTCTCTCTCTCTCTCGCTCTCTCTCTCTCTCTCTCTCTCTCTCTCTCTCTCTCTCTCTCTCTCTCTTTCTCACATTCTTTCCCTTGCTCTTTAGTTCATGAAGGCTGATGCTTGGGACCATGGACATGCTTGTCCACCATGCTATATCTCGTTCTCTCTCACTCTCTCTCTCTCTCTCTCTCTCTCACACACACACACACACTCTCTCTCTCTCTCTCTCTCTCTCTCTCTCTCTCTCTCTCTCTCTCTCTCTCTTTCTTGCTATGCACTTCCTCTTGATTTATTTTTTGGAGGGACTTTGCCAAAATCAGTGGGCCTTTGAGGAGTTATTTATTTATTAATCAACCAACACACATAGCAATGCTTTCCTAGCATGCATCACGCCACCGAGTGGCCAACTTCATGGGACCGAGGGGATTGTTGTTCCCCTTCCCTATCCTAGGCCCAAAGCCTATTTCTACCCTTCACTAGGGCTGGCCTCTTGCCATCGCAAACCCCTAGGGTTGCCCACGGTTTTCGCACTCAAGAGTGCACCGTGCCTAGCGCGCAAGCGCCTAATGCTGTGGCCCGCTCCTACACCACCGGAGCGGGTCCTTGGCCGCCATGCCCGATCCTAGGGCAGGCACTTGCCACGTGGCCCGGCTGGCCGCAACGGAAGCACGAGCCCCGAAACCCACGGCAATTGGCCATGGGCGGGGGGCCCCGCTTGGGTAAGAACGGCATCGGCGCTTTGTTTCCGCCGCGGTTGACACGAGCGTATCCGCTTGCCGCCCGGTCCATCGCCGCCATGTCCGCGACCGCCTGCTTGAAGGGTCGAGAAGTCAGCAGGCTCTTCTGCTGGTACAACTTGAAGCGCTTCGCCGTGCGGAAGTCGGAGGCGTCCTCCACTTGAAGCACCTCGAAACGCCCCGAGATGAGGTTGAGAGCGTGCGAGATGAGTTCGAGTCCTCCCGCCGGGTCCCCGCGCTGCGCCTTGTATTCCGCGTGCAGCAGGTACGCGCGCAAATCCTCCAGCAGCTCCGCTTGCTCTCGCACGGAGTCGTTGACGAATGTTGCCGCCGAAAATGTGAGGTTAGAAGAAGGGAGGGGGGGAAGATGTTCCGTGGCATTAAAATTAACATTGTTGACTGGAGCCTCACCGGCTTCATCTTCAGATTCGTCGGTGTCATTGTCGGCCGCTGGAGCAGGGGGCGATGCTGTCGCTGCGTCGTTGTCGTGCCGATTCGTCCTTGCTATTCGCGTGCCTTTTTCCTTTTTCGCATTTTCTTTTTTAGCCGACGCAGATGCATCGGGTAGTGCAGTTTCCGCGGCTGTAACGCCGACGGGCTGCTGCTGTAGAAGGGATAGCAGCGCGTTGACCTGGTCCGGGGTCAACGCCTGCGACAACGCAGGGGCGGTCGTCGCTGTTGAGACTAATTCATAGGGAAAAAGTGGTTGATTGGGTCAAGATTGGGGTACAAGACTAGAGTGTCGAGATTGTTTTTGTACCCTCTAAGGCTAACCCCAATATAGCCTAGATAATAACAAGCATATGTTTTGACACACCCCCATAGGCGAAACGGGGGATAGCCAGAGCAAGCAATGGTCACAAGACCAGTCAAGAGAAGGAACAAAACACAGCTCAGGGTGGATCACAACGTCACCACACACACTGAGCACAAGCAAACGACCACAAGGCCAGTCCACATGCAGAGGTATGTAAGCAACAAGAACAGTACAGTGATCTCTACCTAGCAAGAGCAAACATGCAGGTATAGATATATAGATCACAACACAAACAAAGCCTACAGCAAGTGAGGAAGCGTGGGCACAAGGCCTAACAAAGTACAGAAACGCTGATGACCACCAGACGGAAGTGCCTTGGTGAATATATCAGCAGTGTTGGCCCGAGTGGCCACGTAAGCAAGACGAAGCTGGCCACGCTGCTGCAACTCTCGAGCAAGGAAGTAACGCAGGGCGATGTGCTTCGTTCTGTGCTCCAGTCTGTGCTCCTGACACAAGGCAATGGCGGCCTTGTTGTCGACATACACAACTGGAGGAGAACGAGGCCGCTCTCCCAAGTCAGTCAGCAGGTAGGTGAGCCAGCGAAGCTCCTGTGCAGCCATGGCTGTGGCGTAGATCTCAGCCTCACAACTGGAGCCGAGAACTGAAGACAAGCGTGTAGAACGCCAAGAAACTGAACCAGAGCCAAGGCTGAAGGTGTAACCCTGTGACGACCGCTGCGTAGCCTGGTCGTCAACCCAAGAGGCGTCCGAGTGACCAGTGAGGACAACGTCACCCCGTCCTCCAAGCACGAGTCCCATGCCCGATGTACTGCACAAGAAGCGTAGTATCCTCTTAGCAGCATCCATGTGCACCTTTCGGTGCCGACCAGGAGCCACGTAGCGAGCCAGAAGGCCAAGAGGGTACGCAAGGTCAGGACGAGTGCAGGTCATCAGGTACATGAGGCAGCCCACTAGCTCTGGGTAAGGACCACTCGGCTCTACGGACTCGTCCGAAGGTGGAGCTGAGAGCGAGTGACCTGTACCCAGAGGAGTGGGCTGTGCTGAGGACCAGGTGAAGCCGAAGCGCTGAAGGACCTGCTGCACCATGTGTGACTAAGTCAGTGTGATGGTGCGGCGTGCTCTGTCCCGGGTGATCTGCAAGCCAAGGTAGCTGCGCAGTTTGTCAAACTTCTATCTACTATGGTCTATCTAGGCTGTAGTGGGGTAGCTCCTAGAGGGTAAAACACTTATGTGTTTCCTATATGTACCCATCTCATTTCTAGTTCATTCATTCTTTCGTCTATCTTTCTCACATGGTATAGAGCTAGTTTCGAGAATTTATTAAAAAGGGCCCACCACTAAAATTCCTCGCTGCCTACTTGACGCGAGCGTCACGATTTCCCTTCGAGGCCCGTCGCGGCCCCTGCGCCTGC